AAAGAGTGCTGAACTGCTATGTAATATTAATCCTCCTATACGACAGTGAATGCTGGACAATTTCCTCACAGATGAAGAGGAGACTTGAAGCAAGAGAAACAAAGAAAAGAGTGCTGAACTGATGTAATATCAATCCTCCTATATAGCAGTGAATACTGGACAATTTCACAGATGAAGAGGAGACTTGAAGCAAGAGAAACAAAGAAAAGAAACTGCTATGTAATATCAATCCTCTTATATGGCAGGGAATGCTGGACAATTTCCTCACAGATGAAGAGGAGACTTGAAGCAAGAGAAACAAAGAAAAGAGTGCTGAATATATCAATCCTCCTATATGGCAGTGAATGCTGGACAATTTCCTCACAGATGAAGAGGAGACTTGAAGCAAGAGAAACAAAGAAAAGAGTGCTGAACTGCTACGTAATATCAATCCTCCTATATGGCTGTGAATACTGGACAATTTCCTCACAGATGAAGAGGAGACTTGAAGCAAGAGAAACAAAGAAAAGAGTGCTGAACTGCTATGTAATATCAATCCTCCTATATAGCAGTGAATGCTGGACAATTTCTCACAGATGAAGAGGAGACTTGAAGAAAGAGAAACAAAGAAAAGAGTGCTGAACTGCTATGTAATATCAATCCTCCTATATAGCGGTGAATACTGGACAATTTCCTCACAGATGAAGAGGAGACTTGAAGCAAGAGAAACAAAGAAAAGAGTGCTGAACTGCTATGTAATATCAATCCTCTTATATGGCAGGGAATGCTGGACAATTTCCTCACAGATGAAGAGGAGACTTGAAGCAAGAGAAACAAAGAAAAGAGTGCTGAACTGCTATGTAATATCAATCCTCCTATATGGCAGTGAATGCTGGACAATTTCCTCACAGATGAAGAGGAGACTTGAAGCAAGAGAAACAAAGAAAAGAGTGCTGAACTGCTATGTAATATCAATCCTCCTATATAGCAGTGAATACTGGACAATTTCCTCACAGATGAAGAGGAGACTTGAAGCAAGAGAAACAAAGAAAAGAGTGCTGAACTGCTATGTAATATCAATCCTCCTATATAGCAGTGAATGCTGGACAATTTCCTCACAGATGAAGAGGAGACTTGAAGCAAGAGAAACAAAAGAAAAGAGTGCTGAACTGCTATGTAACAATCCTCCTATATAGCGGTGAATGCTGGACAATTTCCTCACAGATGAAGAGGAGACTTGAAGCAAGAGAAACAAAGAAAAGAGTGAACTGCTATGTAATATCAATCCTCCTATATAGCAGTGAATGTTGGACAATTTCACAGATGAAGAGGAGACTTGAAGCAAGAGAAACAAAGAAAAGAGTGCTGAACTGCTATGTAATATCAATCCTCCTATATGGCAGTGAATGCTGGACAATTTCCTCACAGATGAAGAGGAGACTTGAAGCAAGAGAAACAAAGAAAAGAGTGCTGAACTGCTAATATCAATCCTCCTATATAGCAGTGAATACTGGACAATTTCCTCACAGATAAGAGGAGACTTGAAGCAAGAGAAACAAAGATAAGAGTGCTGAACTGCTATGTAATATCAATCCTCTTATATGGCAGAATGCTGGACAATTTCCTCACAGATGAAGAGGAGACTTGAAGCAAGAGAAACAAAGAAAAGAGTGCTGAACTGCTATGTAATATCAATCCTCCTATATGGCAGTGAATGCTGGACAATTTCCTCACAGATGAAGAGGAGACTTGAAGAGAAACAAAGAAAAGAGTGCTGAACTGAAATATTAATCATCCTATATGGCAGTGAATGCTCGACAATTTCCTCACAGATGAAGAGGAGACTTGAAGCAAGAGAAACAAAGAAAAGAGTGCTGAACTGCTATGTAATATCAATCCTCCTATATGGCAGTGCATGCTGGACAATTTCCTCACAGATGAAGAGGAGACAATGCTGAACTGCTATGTAATATTAATCCTCCTATACGACAGTGAATGCTGGACAATTTCCTCACAGATGAAGAGGAGACTTGAAGCAAGAGAAACAAAAGAAAGAGTGCTGAACTGCTATGTAATATCAATCCTCCTATATAGCAGTGAATACTGGACAATTTCCTCACAGATGAAGAGGAGACTTGAAGCAAGAGAAACAAAGAAAAGAGTGCTGAACTGCTATGTAATATCAATCCTCTTATATGGCAGAATGCTGGACAATTTCCTCACAGATGAAGAGGAGACTTGAAGCAAGAGAAACAAAGAAAAGAGTGCTGAACTGCTATGTAATATCAATCCTCCTATATGGCAGTGAATGCTGGACAATTTCCTCACAGATGAAGAGGAGACTTGAAGCAAGAGAAACAAAGAAAAGAGTGCTGAACTGCTACGTAATATCAATCCTCCTATATAGCAGTGAATACTGGACAATTTCCTCACAGATGAAGAGGAGACTTGAAGCAAGAGAAACAAAGAAAAGAGTGCTGAACTGCTATGTAATATCAATCCTCCTATATAGCAGTGAATGCTGGACAATTTCCTCACAGATGAAGAGGAGACTTGAAGCAAGAGAAACAAAGAAAAGAGTGCTGAACTGCTATGTAATATCAATCCTCCTATATAGCGGTGAATGCTGGACAATTTCCTCACAGATGAAGAGGAGACTTGAAGCAAGAGAAACAAAGAAAAGAGTGCTTAACTGCTATGTAATATCAATCCTCCTATATAACAGTGAATGTTGGACAATTTCCTCACAGATTAAGAGGAGACTTGAAGCAAGAGAAACAAAGAAAAGAGTGCTGAACTGCTATGTAATATCAATCCTCCTATATGGCAGTGAATGCTGGACAATTTCCTCACAGATGAAGAGGAGACTTGAAGCAAGAGAAACAAAGAAAAGAGTGCTTAACTGCTATGTAATATCAATCCTCCTATATAGCAGTGAATACTGGACAATTTCCTCACAGATGAAGAGGAGACTTGAAGCAAGAGAAACAAAGATAAGAGTGCTGAACTGCTATGTAATATCAATCCTCTTATATGGCAGCGAATGCTGGACAATTTCCTCACAGATGAAGAGGAGACTTGAAGCAAGAGAAACAAAGAAAAAGTAACTGCTATGTAATATCAATCCTCCTATATGGCAGTGAATGCTGGACAATTTCCTCACAGATGAAGAGGAGACTTGAAGCAAGAGAAACAAAGAAAAGAGTGCTGAACTGCTATGTAATATTAATCATCCTATATGGCAGTGAATGCTCGACAATTTCCTCACAGATGAAGAGGAGACTTGAAGCAAGAGAAACAAAGAAAAGAGTGCTGAACTGCTATGTAATATCAATCCTCCTATATGGCAGTGAATGCTGGACAATTTCCTCACAGATGAAGAGGAGACTTGAAGCAAGAGAAACAAAGAAAAGAGTGCTGAACTGCTATGTAATATCAATCCTCCTATATAGCAGTGAATACTGGACAATTTCTCACAGATGAAGAGGAGACTTGAAGCAAGAAACAAAGAAAAGAGTGCTGAACTGCTATGTAAATATCAATCCTCCTATATAGCAGTGAATGCTGGACAATTTCCTCACAGATGAAGAGGAGACTTAAAGCAAGAGAAACAAAGAAAAGAGTGCTGAACTGCTATGTAATATCAATCCTCCTATATGGCAGTGAATGCTGGACAATTTCCTCACAGATGAAGAGGAGAGACTTGAAGCAAGAGAAACAAAGAAAAGAGTGCTGAACTGTAATATCAATCCTCCTATATAGCAGTGAATGCTCAATTTCCTCACAGATGAAGAGGAGACTTGAAGCAAGAGAAACAAAGAAAGAGTGCTGAACTGACAATTCAATCCTCCTATATGGCAGTGCATGACAATTTCCTCACAGATGAAGAGGAGACTTGAAGCAAGAGAAACAAAGAAAAGAGTGCTGAACTGCTATGTAATATCAATCCTCCTATATGACAGTGAATGCTGGACAATTTCTCACAGATGAAGAGGAGACTTGAAGCAAGAGAAACAAAGAAAGAGTGCTGAACTGCTATGTAATATTAATCCTCCTATATGGCAGTGAATGCTGGACAATTTTCTCACAGATGAAGAGGAGACTTGAAGCATAAGAAACAAAGAAAAGATGAACTGAGGAGGCAGTGAATGCTGGACTTTCCTCACAGATGAAGAGAAAAGCAAAGAAACAAAGAAAAGAGTGCTGAACTGCTATGTAATATTAATCCTCCTATATGGCAGTGAATGTTGGAAAAAGGTGAAGAGGAGAAAGAAAAAGTGCTATATCTATCTATCTATCTATCTATCTATTTATCTATCTATCTATCTATCATGATTTACTAAACATAGCTTAGGACGAGTTTAAGGAGCAGGGAGTGAGGATTGAACTCACTATTCAGTTGCAATCTAGCGAGACATAGCGAGACGTAGGGACCAAATGATTTTCTAAGCATAGCTTCGATGTGGTACATGGCCGAAAGAATGGAGATCGAACTCCCTACTCGTAATTGATCAAGCGAGACAATTCAAATTAACTAGTTTAAAATATGTTTTTTTTCGCTACATAGCAATAACCATGAGCACTATTTTATCAATAAGAACACCGGATTATATATCTTACTGTCCTTTCTTTCTTTCTTTCTTTCTTTCTTTCTTTCTTTCTTTCTTTCTTTCTTTCTTTCTCTCTCTCTCTCTCTCTGTATATATATATATATATATATGGTGGTTGCCAACTCACCCATTACCACTCATCTTTTTGGAGAATATGTACTGATGTGCTGAACGAATGCGTGTTTTAGCCCAGAAAGGGACCGACATACTCAGGCACAAACAGTTAAAATGTCGCATGAAGCCGCTTTTGGACCCGCAGGTCTTACTGCAAATATGTATGTATATATTCATCTATCTATCAGTCCTTTTCTATCTATCTATCTATCTATCTATCTATCTATCTAGCTAGCTAGCTAGCTAGCTAGCTATCAATCCGTTCATATCGATGTATATCGATGTATGTATGTATGTATGCACCAGTCTATTAGTCCTTATCTATCTATCTATCTATCTATCGTAGACTCAACATCTATCAGTCCGTTTGTGTCTATCCATTTCTTTCTTTCTTTCTTTCTTTCTTTCTTAGACTCAACATCTATCTATCAGTTTCTATCTATCTATCTATCTATCTATCTATCTATCTATCTATCTATCTATTTTAGACTCAACATCTATCAGTCCGTTTGTGTCTATCACACCATTTCTTTCTTTCTTTCTTTCTTTCTTTCTTTCTTTCTTCGACTCAACATCTATCTATCAGTCCGTTTCTATCTATCTATCTATCTATCTATCTATCTATCTATCTATCTTAGAGTCAACATCTATCAGTTCCTTTCTCTCTATTAGTCCGTTTCTTTCTTTCTTTCTTTCTTTCTTTCTTTCTTTCTTAGTCTCAAAATATATCTCAAGATATATTCTATCTATCTATCTATCTATCTATCTATCTATCTATCTATCTATCTATCTATCTATGCATAACAAGATTTCGAATGGAATCGTTTTTTGTTCGCTCATTATGTAAGCTGTAAAGCGCCTTTGTGAACGTGACCAGTCCTGTCATGTTACCCTTGTTCATAGACACCTGCCACGCCGTGCATTTTGCCCTGGAGGTTGTCGAACATTACGTAAGTATCGGTGGGTTATGGCAAAGGGTCAAGGAAGCAATTCGTGCTCAGGGAAAAGAGCAGAGGCAGATGGGATCTTTTACAAATCCGTTCGACCCGTATGTTTTGAATGAAAAAATAAAAAATCAGGAAAAATGTAAAATAATCAACTATTTTGACTTTCTTTACGTCCTAGCCTTGAAAAAAGAAACAAACACACAGAGAAAAAAAAAACGAAATAATATACAAATAAACAAAAGACAAAACAGTGTTGACGAAGAACGAAAATAGAAGCAATTTGTCAATACACACACACACAATATATATATATATATATATATATATATATATATATATATATATATATATATATATATATATAATTTTAGGATATTACAACAAAAACATGTAAAAATCGCTACACAACTGCAGTTGATTTTTCAACGCATACCGATGCGTCTCCTCAGGCGATTGTAAATTACTGTCGAGTGAACGATTAATATAGCTTCAAAAGGAAATTACATACTTTTTTGAAAAAAAAGGCTTGAGGCCTTTAAAATGATTCATAAAGTAATAATGTCCTCAAGACTTATATTTATTTATTTTTATTTTGTTCAAAACCAATGTAAATAGTGTAAATAAATTAAATTGTCTGGAAGGATTTTTTATTCTGAAATTCCCTGTAATCGCTGATTTTAGCATCATTATTTTTAGCCATCTGTCATCGCAATGTAATTGTCTTTGTTAAAAAATCTTTCAAATAAAATATACTTTTCTGAAATGTTTTTTTGGAGGATTATTATATAATAAATAAAAATATGTATATAATGTATTATATAATAAATAAAATATGTATATAATGTATTATATAATAAATAAAATATGTATATAATGTATTATATAATAAATAAAATATGTATACAATGTATTAGTCTTTCATTAATGCAAGTTTGTAATGCAACAGTTTTTAAACTAACATATTTTAGGTAAGTGATGTCTTTTAAGAATCCGACTCTTTTTCGCTCGACGTTTGTGAGAATATAGACCAGGAATATTTTCTTCCTATATTTTTTTTTAATTAACATTTCTTCTTTGCGTACAAGAATATTCCGGACTCATGAAATCGAATCTAAAAGTACATTATATACCATCGATTTTCCGGCTGCATTGTTTTATTTTATTTTTTTTTGCACTGTAACACTAACTGTCAATGAATGCTGAATGTATCCTATATCTTATTTTTTTTTACAGTGAGGCTCACCCCTTATATGGCCTGTGGGCCACTCGAGGTAGAGGATTACAGAGTAAGAGGCACAGTTTATGCAGGTAGATTGGGAAGATAGCAGCTAACTCTAGACTTCAACAGGTTAGGGTTGTAGTGAACGGGAAGACATCCCCTTGGGAATCGGTTACACAAAGAATCGATTCACAGGAAATAGCTGCCCGAGTGGAACTTCTCGTTAAATACGAAGGGAATGAGGGTGGTTTTCTACAATGGGCGTGGCATGGGTGGGTCTTAGCTGTGAAGGTTAGGATTGCTGGAATTAAGGAATGGTTGCTCGTCTGAGCACTTTCCATGGAAATAGAATGGAATTTTTTTTTGTTTGCATCACAGATAATTGTTGTAAGAGTTCATCATCACCCACCCATGACTGGGTGTGGTCATAAGGCTGCTATGCACCTGACCAGTTCATTCATGTATCAAGTGTTTCAGGCAAATCAGATCTGGTGTAACTTATTGCAGAAGAGTCCACTTGGGAGTTGGTTCTACAAAGCAGCAATTTGTGGGAAGAAGCAGCTCGAGTAGAACTTGCATCTCACCAAAAGAATACGTACAAGGCCCGGGAGCCACTCGTTGTAGAGTTGGAGGCATAGCTTATTCGGATATGTGGCAAATATAACAATTAACCCAAGACTTAATTTCATAAAGCAGTGGTTCATGTGAAGAAGCTTCTCGAGTGAAACTTACATCTCACCAATGGTTTGGTTTGGTTTGTTTTACGGCGTATCAACCTCAATGGTTTATTTAATGCCGACAATTTTTATTGCTGGTAATTTTTATCCATGTTTGCAGCGAAAAAAAAATCAAATTCTTAACAACTGAGTTCAAGCTTTGAAGGAAAGCTCTGTTTGTTAAAAAAAATATATATATTAAGATTAAAAATACTTTCTCAATCAAAATTTAATTTTTGTGTTGGTCTATGTGAGCTTCTATTTGGAAAAATGATATATAAATTTGTATATACCAGAAAAGTTTTTTTGGGAAAATCTATGGAAAAATGGACAAATTTTTTTTCCGTGTGTAATGCTTCATCCTTTAGGAGCTATGTCTCAAGAGATTCTTTTTTACAATGATGTACAAGGCTCGGGAGACACTCGTGGTAGAGGGTTGCAGAGTTGGAGGCACAGCTCATTTGGATATGTGGCAAGGATAACAATTAACCCAAGACTTGAAATGTTAAGATTGTAGCATCCTCTTGAGAGTTGGTTCTACAAAGCAGTGGTTTGTGTGAAGCTGCTCGATTGGAACTTACATCTCATCAGTGGAATACAAAGGGAATGAGGGTGGTTCACTACAATGGGCGTGGCATGGGCGGGTCTCAGTCAGGAAGGTTAGAACTGGTGGAACAAAAGAATGTAGTTCGTCTGAGCACTTTCCATGGAAGTAGTGATAGAGTAGTGAGAGGTTTGCATCTCTTCTTTTGAGACAGAGGTTGAACAGTGGAAACATAATTTGTCATCCACAAGAAACGCGATGACGCCTTTGGACTCTATCGAGACTTGAAAATGAAGACTGTGCAGCTCCTGTCCATATATGGCAGCAGTACTCCATTTTCGGCCTGATCTGGCTCTTGTAAAGATAGTGGATATCAGGAGGAGTCAGGTATTACTGGACTTTCATTCACTGATAGATACGTTGGTGAGAAAGTGACTGAAGCCAAGATGCCAGGTCAGGATTAATTACATTGCAGATCCTTCTTTGGATTTTGTTGTGAACCTCGAGATGAATAGCAGGAGCACCAGACCAGATATGGCAACAGTATTCAATGCACGGACGAATGGTAGATTTGAGGACGTGTAAGATGGACTCTGACGAGAGAAAAAACCTTCTGTCATAACATAGAGAACCAACTTTCCTTGCAGTAGATGCAGCTATTGATTCAATGTAGTTGCTCTACTTCAAATCAGTCGAAAACGTGAGGCCAACAAGGCGTAGGGAGTCGCTCTCCCGAAGTCGATCATCAACCATGCTGTGGTGGCAGGGAAGCCCCTCTGTGACGATTAAATGAGGGCAGTTGAGTTCTGGAGGCATTCAAATTTACAAGCCATTTCTTGACTCAGTTAACCACAGACTGGAAACCCTTTTTGAAACCGTAATCACTGCATATTTTTTATATGTTTACATAGCGTTATTTCTTTGCTATAACTATCATAATATTCTTAATCTTCTATGTGCCGTGGACGATCATGACTCTCCCCAACTTCCTGCTGTTTGTAGCTCGTTAGGTACTTTCCCTTGTTTCTCTTGCCTACAATATGTCCTTTGAGTGTTCAATTTTCCTAATGTGTCATAGAAATTTCAATTTTGAATCTAAGTATACGTGTGCTTTTTGATTTCATTTTCTCTAAAACTTTGTCATTGCTCACATGTTCAGTCTATGGTATTCTTAGCATCTTCCTGTAAAACCACATTGCCCCACAAAAAACTTAGAATAAAAATACGGGAAAACATATTAAATACAAACAAAGACAGCACGTTCAATCACTCGGTCACGATGATGCTTTCAGAACAGTTCTGTCCCCTATTTCACTTGCAAGGCTTGTGTCAATGCCAATAACACCAAGAAATGAAATCAGCCATTCTAACCACTCCCACCACCGCTAATGACTGCTGGAGGACCCATCCAGGAGTAAGAAAATGCAGAAAATGTTCGTAATGATCACTGCCCCGAGCGCTTTCGGCCAATTCATTCACCGTTTCCCATGGATTCGTATTTAATATTTTCCTGTGTTTTTGTTTTCGGGGAGTAGTAATTCCAAGCTGTGAGACGTGATATGTGGTTGTGATTCCATGTTTGGGTATCTTTATAAAACGAAGACTCTTTATTAAAAAAAAAGAAAAGAAAAAAAGACAACTTAATAAAACGATTCAAGCCAAGCCTCAACATTACTCTATTTGACAATGGCAGCAAAGAGTTAGCGGTCTGGACCACTGAAATGTTTGTTGCTGATTGACGTCTGGATATTAAAGTAAAAACAAAAACAACTTAATAAAACAATTCAAGCCAAGCCTCAACATTACTCTATTTGACAATGGCAGCAAAGAGTTGGCGGTCTGGACCACTGAAATGTTTGTTGCTGATAGACGTCTGGATATTAAAATAAAAACAAAAACAACTTAATGAAACAATTCAAGCCAAGCCTCAACATTACTCTATTTGACAATGGCAGCAAAGAGTTAGCGGTCTGGACCACTGAAATGTTTGTTGCTGATTGACGTCTGTATATTAAAATAAAAACAAAAACAACTTAATAAAACAATTCAAGCCAAGCCTCAACATTACTCTATTTGACAATGGCAGCAAAGAGTTAGCGGTCTGGACCACTGAAATGTTTGTTGCTGATAGACGTCTGGATATTAAAATAAAAACAAAAAAAACTTAATAAAACGATTCAAGCCAAGCCTCAACATTACTCAATTTGACAATGGCAGCAAAGGGTTAGCGGTCTGGACCACTGAAATGTTTGTTGCTGATAGACGTCTGGATATTAAAATAAAAACAAAAACAACTTAATAAAACAATTCAAGCCAAGCCTCAACATTACTCTATTTGACAATGGCAGCAAAGAGTTAGCGGTCTGGACCACTGAAAT